TGCCACTGTGTACGGCGGTTTAAGAGGGTTGAGGATGATCCCGGCCCGACGGCTGGGAAAAGGGGGAGGGGGAGGGGGTGGGGGAGACTGCACGCCGGAGACGGCGGGTTCAAAGGTGCAAGAGGAAGAAAGCTCACCGACTCGCTTCGTCCTGCCTCATCGCGAAAGAGCGAGCTTTAACGCCGGGCAATAAAACCCGTGGAGTGGCGTAATGCCTATATACGAGTGATGCCCGCGAATATAATGCCTTGAGAGATATGTAGATATACCGCACACAGGCTGGAGATGCATACCAGAAGAAAGGAGTGGGCGGGGAACGGTGAGGGGGAGAGAAGGAAGAGAGGAACTGAGAGATGCGCTTATTTCCTGCGTTATTCGGCGTAAACGTAAAGCGGAAATTAAAGCTGATAGACCGGTTAATGGGCACGTGGCCCAGATAATTATGTATGCTCGTTTCACGTCTCTACCCCCTTTTGCAGAATCCCGGTCCGAGGACTTATTTACATAACGGTATATATTGAATTGTTGTAGCGCGAGTTATGTATTTTTGGTCGTCAATGGTGATGAGGCAGAAGAGGGCTGTGGGATTGCATCAAATATGCGATGCGACTCATTTCGAGGGTATATATGTGATAATTTGAGCGGAAAATTATTCGCCAGAATAAAACTGTTGTCGTTAGTAGATAATTGTGTTTAGCGTGTAAATATTTAAGTTACGACATCAGCGCGTTATACGTTATATGTCGTTTATATTAATCGCAAATCAGACTCTGACGAAACGCATATTTTATACGCGGAGTGTCGTCTGCTCTGCCTTTATCATTCCGCCGGATAAGATCATCGATAAACCACGCCTGAGATTCTTCCTCCTCATGTTTGATCTATTCGAGATCGATGGAAGCGCGAAAGTGCCGTTTTCCGCTTAATGGCTGCGCGGGATGTTGTAACTTTCTCGTATGTATCGCACTTTTTCACGAGAGCACCGTGTAAGCGTGGAGTCCGCAACTTTTCCGTCTAATTAAAAATAATTGAATGCAAAATCCGCTTTAATTTGCCAACTTTTAGACGGCCTGTGATAGGAACTTGTAATTATGCGCGCGAGCTATATAAGATCCGCACTTCGCTAAAAGCGCTCGCGCGCTCTCACGTTTTTACCACCGTACTTTTATATTTTTACGACGAGTATGCATCGCTCGGTCATGACGGATATACGGCAAAAGATACGGGTGGTATGTGCCGAGTTTTTATGCCAAAAAAAGAAAGAGGCAGCGAGGAACGAGGGAAGGAGAAGAGAGAAAGAGAGAAGAGGAGAAGAGAGAGAGAGAGAGAAAAACGATAAAAGCGAAAAAGGGAAAAGAGAGAAAAAGAGCAAAGTGCTCTTTACGCGATTTATTGTAATCACCACTAAAACACGGTATGCAACAGTGACAACAGTGAATGCAGATTCGGTGCTTATCGATCGTTCGCGATATGTAGACGGAATCGATCCTCGAGAATACGAGCCATCAATGTTACAGCTCGTTACAGTTTGTCGTTAATGCCTTAACGTCTTTCACGACGAGCCGGAGAAGAGAAAATGCCCATCTTATCGATCACGTTGGGTTCGTCGCTCATTTACCGTCGACGAGAGTACGCATCGCTCGGCACGCTGCCAAGTGCGCGAACGATAAAAATCCACGTCGCTAATATCACGAAAGACGCACGCCCGTTAATGGCACATCGATAATGCACCATTACTCCAATATTCCTATGTGAAATTGTAACGCACATAGGCACGCACGCATGCACGTGCGCTATGAAAAAACTGGATCTTCGTGACTTTAATTAAACGACCACCAACGCGCGCTGTTCTCGAATGTTTGCCCGTAAAGAGAGAAAGAGAGAAGAGGAGAAGAGAGAGAGAGAGAGAGAGAGAGAGAGAGAAACGATAAAAGCGAAAAAGGGAAAAGAGAGAAAAAGAGCAAAGTGCTCTTTACGCGATTTATTGTAATCACCACTAAAACACGGTATGCAACAGTGACATTTAGCGATGCAGATTCGGTGCTTATCGATCGTTCGCGATATGTAGACGGAATCGATCCTCGAGAATACGAGCCATCAATGTTACAGCTCGTTACAGTTTGTCGTTAATGCCTTAACGTCTTTCACGACGAGCCGGAGAAGAGAAAATGCCCATCTTATCGATCACGTTGGGTTCGTCGCTCATTTACCGTCGACGAGAGTACGCATCGCTCGGCACGCTGCCAAGTGCGCGAACGATAAAAATCCACGTCGCTAATATCACGAAAGACGCACGCCCGTTAATGGCACATCGATAATGCACCATTACTCCAATATTCCTATGTGAAATTGTAACGCACATAGGCACGCACGCATGCACGTGCGCTATGAAAAAACTGGATCTTCGTGACTTTAATTAAACGACCACCAACGCGCGCTGTTCTCGAATGTTTGCCCGTAGATGCGCAAAAGGTAGATATATGATGAGATAATAATTGGACGCGGGCTTTTACGGGATGTATAATAATTCGCTCTTCTTCATCGTTCGTCGCACTTGTCGCCGTTAAGTGCACGCGTCCAATAAAAAGGATCCGGATGCGAGCAAAAAGAAAGATGGATTTTCGATAATTTCCTGAACAAAATCGATTTCCGTCGACATATTCGACTTCGCCTGATCTCGTAAATTCTATTCTTCCAATGAAAATCGTGCTTTTTTTTCGCGCGAGAGAGCATGCATTATCACTTTCGCCAAAAAAAGTGTCTATCGACGTTTTTTATTACCGTCATCCTATCGTGTCGTCGCTAATGTTCCGCACTTGTGTGCTTTTATCGTTACTATTCTTTATGTCTTTAGATTGTCGGTAGTCTAGCCATTCTTCATTTTCGTTAAAAAATTAAAAGTTTGTTTTTTTAACGGATGTTGCAGATTTTCTTGCGAATTACGTTTATAAAAGATCTGTGTAATTATGTCTTTTCTCTAAAGACTTATACATTCGTACATTTTCCGACAAAAAGCTTTCTCCGCTAAAACTATTAATTTTCTTTATGACCGCTTTGCGACGTTTTCCGCGAAGCTTGAGGCGTCGCGTGAAACGAGAGGAATATTCGATTCTGAGACGATAATAATAAGGGTCGCGACGCTATCGATGAGCATCGACGAGCATGGGGTGAGTCAATTTTAGATGCACTCCGCGAGAGCGTGATAAAGTTGGAAAAACCGCGATGACTTTTCGCGCGATCCCGGCTGACCCGAGAAGAGAATCCCCTTTCTTAGAATTTAATAAAAATCCGAAAGCTTCCGAAATCGAGATCGCCGTCGCCGAGGAACATTATGCGTTTTTACTCTCTCCTCGGTATGCATTGCCCTCTTCGATTCTATTTCGCTTTACTTTCCCTATCGCGCTTCTTGTCTCTTTTTCTTTCTCTTCGGGTTTCTCTCTTGTTCTCTCCTCCCTTCATTCCATCCTCCTCATATTTTGTCAAGAGACGCATTTCACCTATCCCGAATAACTTCCAGACAAATTGCATCGCCGAACGGTGCTTGGATACACCATTTCGTGGGAATTGAGGTATTTGTTATAAATATTGGTAATACAACGTACGGTTTGTTATTCTGTCGACGGATCAATTGCACGTCGTCTTCCGGAGATTGCGGGACTGGATCTCAATTGAGATTAGTCTCATGCAAGAATATTATTGCATGTGTGTTACACTGTATATAAATTACATGGAATATTCAAATTGATGTTAAATTATACAGAGTATTCGTATAATTTAATATCGTATGTCAAACACTTTTTTTTCACTACGTATTCTTTGATATATAGATCAAATTTTTTAAATGTATATTCAAAGATAATTTTTCCATTCTTTTTAAATTTTCAATGTTAAGTATTTTTATAACTGAGCTCCAAATTAATTTTCAGTGAAACAAATTTCGCTTGTGAGATTAGTTAAAGATTGAATAAGTGTTGAGTGACGTATATACATTTTTATATAAAATCATCATAGAATAAAATTTTATTCGCATCGGCAGAATGACTTCATTGTACCGTGAAATTTTTTGATATTTTTCAATTAGCATAAAACGTATCATATATCCAAGAAATAAAAGAGATCTCGTTCTATGGCGAATCTCGCGAAAATTTTCAAAGTGACTTGTGTGAAATATATAATTTTTCCCTTTCCTTTTATTATTCATGCCAAATGCGAAATCCAGTACACCGACACGTAAAAATAATAATAATACTCATTGTAGAGATATTTACAAAGATTCGCACAATCGAGACAATCAAGATGCGAATGTCGCGGTCGTGTAAAAATCGAGTTAATTACCCCTACCGTTGGCCAGATTTAACATCGCCTCGCAATTGTTCCTCGTGACCCGAAGCTGGGAGAACGGAAATGGCGAAATACCGTGGGAGAAAGAAGAAATCGGGAGCACGTGGGCTGCGGGATGAACGGGATTGCGCGGATCCGAAGCCGCGGCCGGGCCGAGAGGCCGGGTTAAATACTTTCCCGTTTCGGTATTCAGCTTCGTTTACTCGACAACGCAGATTTTCCCTTTGGTACGATTCGCAAATGCATTCCTTTTGCGCCGATTCACAAAAGGGAAGAGAGAGAGAGAGGGAGAGAAAGAGAGAGAGAGAAAGAGAGGGGAGAGAGAGAGAGAGAGAGAGAGGTGGGCATGGATCGATTGTACCCTTTGGATTTATCCTCCTGAGAGACCGCGGGCGGTGTTACACTTTGTAACTACGCAACAACGGAACTACGAAGCTTCACGAGTTTCAGTTATCTATACCTCAAGCTTTGCACTCTACAAGGAGCATTCTTAATATTTTATAATTTAATAATATGAACGTTTTATTCACATTATAATATTATTATTTACGTAGTTTTATTTGGAAAATATTGCATGTCAAAAAATAATATGTTGAGACAAAATCGGTTTTCAATTTACAAGAGAAATATACTTGTTGAAAAAAGATTATAATACTTACGATGCATTTCAATTGCTATCGACATTGACAAGGGTTGACTGATATTATTGTTGGATGCTTGACATTCGAACACCGCGTGAAGATCCGCTCTTGACAATTGGCTAACGATAAGCGTGTTCGTACGAACACCAGGGGTTTTACCCGGTTCATCCTTAGAGTCTAGAAGCGTCTCTCCGCGCCACCATCTCACTTTAGGTTGGGGGCGACCTGAGAACAAATGTCGTAAAATTTATTTATCAGTTTAGAAAAAAATACAAGAGTGAAAGGGAGGGAGAGAGAAAATTTAAAATTAAAAGAAATTTGAAAAATATGTTGCTATTAAAATTTAATAACATTTTTAACTTTATTTCCTATTTTTATCTATCGCATATTCTCCACAACGAAAATATAGCAATAGATTAATAATAATACGCTAATTAAAGATATATTGCACGTTTAAAATAGATACTATGGATTGGATTTAAAGTGGATGTCATAATTAGACGCGTAAAAATAAAATTAGTTGTGATATTATTAGAGATTTTTCTATTTTAAATATAACTTAATAAACGCGTCGAATACTGCGAGCTGCTGGAAAACATATCGTTAATTAAAAGGTTAATTAAACAAACATCATTTGGCTAAAAGCATCAAAAATAAAATCTTTTATAAATGTATTCCATAAATTTGGCACACAAGAATAAATGGGATGGACGATGTATTTGTCATTTATATATTTAGCCTCAAGCTTTAATATATTTAGCTCTAGAGAATACTAATGAGAGAGCTTACAGACTGTGATACTTTTCCGTGCAAAAACTACCTGCATTATTCCAGCATCGGCATATCTGCAACGCTATCCGTGCAATGTATCGTTCACCCTCTTCCCTCCTCTGTCTTCCCCGCACGTTCCACCTATCTTATACTATTTCTCCGCGAACGATCGCCGTGGGTTTCATGCTTATAGATAGGTACGTACGTACACACTCGCCCACCCTTCCGCCCGCTCTACATCAGGCTTCGCGGTACGCGTTAATTCATAATTCATAATGGTCGTTGCGTGCGGATAATCCCCCGAGGGTGAATATCCCGTTAAAGGGAGGCGGTGAGTCGACGGGGCGGTCTAGCTTATGTGCTGGGGCGACCTTATTATTTTTTACCGGACCTATTTTCGTTCAGAAGGGACAAGCAGAAAAACACGCGGCGACAAGCGGAGAGAGAGAAGGGCTGTTGTAGAGGAGGAGAGTGGAACTGTAGGCAGCGGTAAAGAGTGTATAAGAGTTGTATAGCTCTGTTGTGTCCCTCGGGTGGCGGCATGCGAGGTAATAAAAATAAATTTATTATCGTTATTGCCCCTCGTCTTGCCGACACAGCGGCGCGCGGCCGGATATTAAAATGTAATAGAATAAAGGGAAGCGTTGGACGCGAATGCATGCACCACGACTGCCGCTAAAGCACTCGACGCTTTGTCGAAGCGTTTAACAATCTGGGCAACGCTACTCCCATAATCCCGCGTATTTACGCGGAAGATGAAGGGTAAAGGAAAATCTGAGCAATGATGATAAGGCAATATTCGGATTATCGCCCTTCTCACGAGGATTCAGAATTTTGTGACACAATGCTAAATGAGTTATTATGATAATCATGCGATATCAGAGAGAGAGAGAGAGAGAGAGAGAGAGAGAGAGAATTATCCGATATAGTATTAAATAAACACATGTAAAAAAGAATCTGGAATTTAAAAAATTTAATGATATCAAGGCTTAGAGAAATGTTCTTTATTCATAACATCAAGTTACGATCGTGTGACGTTTTAATTAAGCGTTATGGCTACGAATAACATGACTTCGTTTTATAGGATGAACTGAATTGGATCGTGGTTGTTTTATATGCGAGAGCAAGAAAATGTTGTTGAACCAAAAGAGCATATATTCTACTCGGTCGTATCAATTATTCTATACCAACTCTTTCGCGGCGTATTCACGAAGGCGACTTCGAAATAGAACACTCCGGTGTATTTTCATTCAACCTGTCTCTCATTATAGAAAGTAGGACTTACCCCCATAGACGTAGCAATGCAATTTCATGTCACCGCCTTCTTCATAAGGTCCGGCAACCGTCGAGACGGTCTTTCCCTCTTCGTCGATAATGTTCGGCTTATTCGGTAGCTCTGTAACAAGAGGAAAAAGAAGAAAGATAAAATGTCACGTGCGTCACGAGGCATGCGTAATTTCAAATAAGGACAAATTATTTTAGGTCAATGATTCTCAAAGAACGGAATTTATAAATAGATTTATAGTTTAGCAAGAATTTTTTATCTATCGATCATGTCACAAAATAAAATATTCGAAGTTGCATAAAATTATGCAATTTTGATTTTTCTTTTTTTTTTTATGTCAATATAATATTTTTAATGATACTATCTTTTTCTGTAGCGTGGCATATATTACTCGTGTAATATAGCTTCATATAATTATAACTAATGTAAGAAGTTGATAAATATTTTATCGCTCCACTCTCTTGATTAAGTTTTCACTTTCTGCATCGCGGCGCAAAGAATACCTGCGTAAGAAATATCATTTGCTCTTACTTCGAAATTTTGATATGCTTTTATACGTTTGCTATAGTACGCGATCGTACAGATACAGTTAACGCAACCAATCGTTCGAGTGGCTTCGAGTTTGACCGCCTCTGACATCGCTACGAGCTATTTAAGCGCAGATAGGAAACTTTCCATGTAAGTCAGTGGCGTCCGGGGAGGAGTAATTCACGATACTCGTGCCACGAACACCGCACGAATAGTCGAACAAGCAGGTGTACAGGTGTTACAGGTAACCGCTTGAAACTCGTACTCGAGTGAGCGAGCTAGCACGAAGGCCATTCGCGTCTTTCGCCGCAGAGTAGTTTGGTGAACACTCGAATTCGAGAGAAGGGGTGAGATATAATACAAAAAAAAAAAAAAAAAAAAAAATTGATTTCTCTTCGGAAAAAAACGTCCCGTATCATGCAAACGAAAATTTAAATATATATATTAATTAATAATGAATTTTTCTTATATCGCGCGCTTCTCTGAACTATTTCAGGCGATTATACACACAAGCGAGGGACGCCTTTCAAATTGATATCAGCTGCGATCCTTTCAAGATAGTTTGCAAACCTCTTATTATGTCGGTGTAATTTGGTACACCCATCGCGCGCGCAATAAAGCATTTTGCGTGCAAGGAAACAATGCGCCGCGAGGTATCAAAAGGGCACGTAAGGGGAAGTCATGCGGGAATCGTTGGTCGTGTATAGCTTAGCTCCGACATGCGGATGGGTGTGGAAGGTGGGACTATCGTGGCGTGTAAACGCTGGCAATTGAATATCGGAAATAGCGGCGTGTCGGAACGTCAGAAGGTGAGTAGCGGGCGTATTGCCTCGAAGATAGGCTGCAGTCGCGGTCGGGATGTCGGATGTCCGTCCAAACGAAAAGGGCTGCCCTATGAAAATTCACAATGGCGAACGGAACCTCGGACGAAATCGATCGTTAACGCGACCCGATTCCATATAGCAGCGTTAGAATACGATCGTGATTTTTTAATCGGCATTCTTCTAAAATTCGAATTTTACAAATTCGTATTCGATAACATCTTTTTTAAGATCCTGACGCGATAATATAGTCGCCTTTTTCTCTTCCTCTTATTATTGCACGTAATTAAGGACGCGGCTTTACTGGCTATAATGACCTTATATACCTCGTACATCGAGTTAAAGTTCAACCGTTCTACTTTATAATTATCCTCACGAACACACGGACACGTGTCCGAGCAGGACAAATTGAAGCGGTGAACCGGATAGGAAATAAACCGGATTAACATGGACGCGCCGAGTTAAGCCGTCGGTCACGATATCGTGCAAGTGAGAAAGTCCCGACGTGAAAACGTTATCCGATACCATCTGGAAATAGCGACGAGTGAAGCACCTCTGAAAGTAGGATTATACCGTATCCTCTACATTTTATATCGAGTATAATCGATACATTAGCGGATTCTTTGGTATTAACCGCAGCCACTCCTCCCTTATAATACCCGCTAAATATCAGCTTTACATATGGATAAACCTTCGAAACGTGCATGAACTAAATTATAAAAACCCGTACTGATAAAATATTTGAATTCTGCAAGCGATGCAAGCAATGATAATCGATTACATAATATATAATATAATAGAATTATGTGTGCTTGTACATTTTAAATGTAATATAACATTATAATATCGAGTGATTTAACGTAATTTACATAGTAATTCACATAAGCTCAATATGGGCAATCCTTTTCGATTGATAGGGAAGCTAATCAGAAAGCAAAGTTTTTGACGATACAACGCATTCAAAAACAGAGCAAAATTATACAGATGAGATAAGAATAATAATAAACAACTTTTAGTTTATCATGCTCTAAAATGAAAGCTTTTCGTTCAGAAAAGAAATTAAAGTTAGAAATAACATGTTACGTAACTCTAATCTAACTAGGAGATTTCTCTGTAACAATTAAACTATTAACTTACTTACGAATTTTATTTCATACACACTATTTTATTAATTTCTACAAAGCTTGAGAAATGGTGTTTGCTGCATTTCTCTCGTTGGCGACTGGTTTCCATTGTTCACGAACTTCGTGGAAGAACCAGGACATTTCCAACGAACATTTTCGCGTGACAAATGATATGCTGGAATTTAACGAGTTAATTTGTAGCACCTAAGTTTCAACATTGGCGGGAGTTGATGTGCCCTCGCAAATTATGATGTTCGGTACGTGACACGGAAGAGGAATAGTTAGAACGTATCGTTTCCGGATGCGAGTATATTTCGAAAATACGAAGATACATTTATGCAACAGGATGAATGCCGCAGGGACAAGCAACCGCGATTAATGCGCACTACTCTAAGAGTTAAGCTCTTTTCATGCGAGATCCTTGTTAGAAAATTCAGTATCCGCCAAATAGAAATATAAATCGGTTGTACCTAGTAACTTATCCCCTTTTTCTAATCTTTGCGCACATTTTATACCGATTCCGAGTGTCTTGTGCGAAGATCGCAATCATTTTATCAAATTTATTATTTTACGTAAAAAAATGCGACGTAAATATACAATATATATATATATATATACAAAGACGTGAACTCTCTCTTTAATGCTACATGTAATGAAACGTTAATCGTATTTTTTATCGTGGATTGATGTTATTCCGACGACGAGTGTTTCGTACGAAAAAGCTTTTATCTCTCGATCTAACAGTAAGATTCCCCAGGGGAATGACCGCATTCTAATAGTTTTTTCCGAAGGGTTACTACGTGAAACGAACATCCAGTAAATTGAGGAATCATGTAACGAAATTTCTTTCCTGGAAAAGCGCTCTTTGCACGATCGCTAAAAGAAATGTCCAGTTTCGAAGTGGACGTCGCTTTTGAAAAATCTCGTCCTTTTCCAGGATACATTAAACTTTTCGAGATGTATAGTCGAAGCAGCGCTTTAAACGGAGATCAAACGTCTTTTGTGACAGGTAAATGGTGTTGCAACAACGACTACGAGAAAGGAAGACAAAAGAGACGTGAATTGTAATATAAAAAAGATACTGTGCGCGAGAGATTCTTTTCTTATGAAATAAAGAGATATACTCTTCTCCGATATTCTGTTATAATAATTTTCCTTTTGAATATTATCTAATGACATTCGCAGGTTGAATTATCGAATTTTTAGCAATTCTAAAATGACTATGAATGAAAGCAAAGTACAATAAAAATTATTTCTTCAATTCTATTAAAGCAACATGATAATAGAAATATTTTTTTTCATTGAATATAATATAAATATATATATCATAGAAAATTAATCATAGAAAATATGCATAGATCAACTTAATGATTTTTTGAATGTCCTGTTTAATCAAAATTAATCTAATTTAACACGTACATCAAGAATAACAGATAGGGATATGATGTAGATTGATATAGAATATAAAAAACGCGAGGCAGCCAACAGATACAATGAAGATTACGTATTTAACTATCCCAACTATGTGAAATTGACTAATGGAATTTGCTTGCATACTGTTTCCCGTTGAACATGTATTTTCACGAATCGTGCATAATAGAATTCTATCGAAGTTCTACCGCTGTAATCAATAAATTATAACTTTGCTAATACTGTTCGCGATTATTTTAATATTCTTCAATAATTGCAATATAAAGTTATTCATTATCAGTTACATATAAATATATTTTAAATAATTATGTATTATATGAAATATTATATGTAAAATATACGTGTGAAAAGAGCAATTTATTCATGCAATTATTCGCATTAATCGATTCGTTTTGAGCTACCTGAGATATTAACAGAGATTAATGTCCTATGCATGATGATTGAATTAACCACGTTGAAAAGTGATAAAAGTTTTAATAATCGTTATAAAATAAGTTATTAGTTTTGAAAATGTAATGTAAATTATGCTGATTATTGCAAGATTAAATAATCTCTAATTAAATAAAAAAGTAAATTTGGGTAAAACTATTCTCTTTACGATTAATTATGAATTTTGAAAATGTTATAACTTTTTACTGCTCATCATTAATACTTATCACATTAGCACATTCTCTTTTATAGAATGTGCTAATTAAATTGTCAAAATTTAGAAGTAAAGGAAGGTGAAAAATATAGTATTATATTTTCTGTTATAATTATATGATTTGTATGTAGATTCTTTTACAAAGTTTTTGTAGATATATATTTCAGGCATGAGATATATGTTATTAAAAAAGATACAAACCTATCACTGTCAGATGAATTCTGGAGTTTCTGGTCGGACTTGTGGTAAAGTCCACTCGGCACCTAAATTCACCTTCGTCCTTTTGCTGTATGTGGTTAACGCTCAAAGTTGCTGGTTCCGTTGTTGTCCTGAAGAACGCCCGATCGTTGAGTTCTTTATCCTGCCAATGCGATGCTTTATCCGAGTTCTTGCCGCGTAGATCGTAACTGAAACAGATATTTTCATTTTATATCCTTCACTTGTCGTAGATGCGAGAATATTCGACTTGTCATAAATATAATATCGCGAAATAAAGTTTGTGCATGCAACTGGTATAGGTATTATGAAAAAGAACAAAAAGCGAAGTGAGAGAGATAAGACCGGATATTCTAAACAGAAATGTATAATCTGGTTTGTGAGCATAAATAACATGTAAGAGATAACAAAACGATCATTTAATCTTTGTAATCTTTAATCATATTACATACGTTCATCATTTAATCTTTGTAATCTTTAATCATATTATATACGTTATAATAAGAAATTAAGAGTGTATATCGATATAAAAATTCTTTGATGTAAAGACCAAATTTTTATGACGATAAAATTCCTGGAAGAGATCAAAGATAGCTTGTAAATTTGTAAATTAAATTTGTATTGTTCGAAATATTTTATTGAAATAGATTACTTCTTTCGCAAACATATTAAATATTCCTGGGGGTCGCACTCCTATATATTTATAGATTAATAAAAAAATACTAAATTTCTCAAAAAATCTATAAAATTTAGAGAGAGAGAGAGAGAAGGAGAGAACAAGAAAGAAAATGCGTAGTATTTGCAATACGATCTCTCGTATAGTATAAGTGAAAATTGTATTGCGAATAACATGTTCAGGCATGACTGCGCCATGTGTCGCTTTATGTTTTTTGTGTCGGAAGTAGGTAGCGGGTCGCGAGAAAAATAAAGTGAAGCAAATGCAAAACTTCAGAAGTAATATCGCGACAGGACGAGAATTTCGTTAACTCCCTCACTCTTTAATACGTTGAACGCTTCGCGCATATTTGATGCAGGCGAGCAAGTTGGATAATAGAGAACACATATGACATAGTAGAGAAAGAGAGAGAGAGAGTACAATTTCGTTAATTAATTTAATACGCGATATGTGTGTGTGTGCGTCCGGTTCTGTGTAAGATAAACTTTACATTTAAAACTTTGTACGCTAAATATGTACTAGAAACTGCGTAATATATTTAATTAAATGTAAAAAAATCTCGCCATAAAAATTCTACTATTCCCGTCTCTTTACCACATGTGTGTATTGTAGAGCACAAAGAGAGATTCGTTTTCAAAATTCTTTTTATCACATACACGCGTAATGATATTTTTCGGAAAATTCAAAATCATGGAAATTTCAAATCACACTTGAACGTCTCTCACTTCATCTAATCCGTCATCTTCTCTAACAATTCTCTAACATTGGTGGTCAGAGCCGCCAATTTTACGTTCGAGCGTGCCCTGTTGTCGCATCGACGATACAGAAAAAGAATCATGTGCCAAGTTGTACACTCAGGGTGTTAATTAAGAATGTATCGGCCAGCCGGTCGTCCTCCATACTCGAGTGCACCCGGGGAGGAAGCCGCGCTGCAACCGTCCAGACAGACGCTTCACCGCAGATCGCCCCGCGGTGCGACCCAACCCCCCAACCCCCATCCCCTCTCGCATACCTCTCGCCACCGGGACATCGAGAGCATCGAATTTGCGGAAATACCACGAGTGCCTCGCCTGGTAGGTACCAGATTCGGCCGCGCGTATCCGGACGGACCGGAGGAGGAGAACGAAGGGGGACTAAATGGTACGGCTAGGGCGTCATCGGGGGAATGAGGGGATGGAGAGGCTGGAAGGGACGGCGTTGTACATTCCTCCGGTGTATTACGAGCCAGTACACCCGCCAGCTGGCGAAGCGTGTACCGCTTCGTCCGAGAGCGCGATCGCATGCTCTCCCATATGCCTAACAACAACGATGCGGTACTTCCGCGGACGCATTCTCTCGCTAGTTGCATCCAACACGTGTGTCGACGTAACATATGTATGCACGCGCGTTTACACACACGCGTGCGCGCGTACAGTTGGCACGGAGGAGGTAGAAGGTGGAAGTTAACCGAAACAGAGAAGTTGACGCTCTGCAATAGCGCGAGCCAAACGTTAAAGCGAGAAACTGCTCTCTTATATATATATATATATGTAGCGTACGTGCAGCGGGCAGCGTCGAGAGATCGGGGGTTCCAAATAACCGGCTGGTTGCTAGATAGGCCAGCAGAAACGATTAATTATACAGCACGGCGCGCCTGCAAATTGCACCACACGTAGTACGTCGTTCGAAAGTTACAGGATACCGTAAGGTCGCACGAGCGACGGTACCACGGACCGAGGAATGGCGTACACATTACCTCTTAAATTTGTCAAGGTTGTATGTACTGCGACGCGGTATTAAGGGAAACGCGCACCTTTCACATTCTCTTTTTATCACACGAAGGGAGGAGGACACATTTATCTCATGAGAAATTGAATAAATTAAAAATGGTTTCTTACAAAAATATTCAAATTAGCCCAATCTGCGTATATATAAAAACATTGCGCTTCTTGAATGCGTGTAGAAAATATGAGAAAAATTAATGACACAATAATTATTACGATATAATAGGATTGAGGTATTCTAATCAAACTTGTAATATACGTAAGGATATATGCTTGACTATCGATATTGCAACGCATTGCAATGTCGTGTTAACGACATTGCGCGTGATACACAGCTAGCGTACAACAGATTAGTGGTCGGACGTTCATATCGGGACGTGGTTATGCCTGTCATAAGCCAGGGCGACCAATTATAGCGCAACATCTCTGCGTTCTCGGTCAGAACATACTACGTAACGTTTCCGTTTCCGGTTGCGCGATCGTACGAGAAAGTTGGCAGAGAGTTTGAAATCAATCTCGCTCGTAAGCAAAATACACGCTGGGACTTTATAGTGAAAAGCCAACCTATAATCGCATTGTGAGGCGAGAAATAAATTTTACATTGCTAAATATTGTTTCCATATCTTAGGCATGAATATCCATTCAAGAAGGGAATAATAATCAGCCGCTACTTCTTCGATCGTGTTTAAAAAGAATGCGATCTCGTGTACCATTGCAATTTGAATTTTCATCGTGCTTAAGAATGAGATTCCGTTGTAGCCATCGGACTACCGGATACATAGCTGAGTGTACACTTTGTATACTTCGGAATATGAAATCAGCGTATTAATGGAGGAGACACGATAGCCGCATAGCGTGCGATTATAGGATACGGTATAAAAGAAAGAGAAAAAGACAAGCGTATATTACAACACCGACGGGCGTTTAACAATACGTCACGCACGATTGTTCGCCCGTGTAATAATTCATGTTAGATTTATGCTTTGTTATACCTACGTTTTCATATTCCGCTAATTTTTTATTTTTTTCTGTGTTTAATGTAATCATTTCTTTTCATCCATTAAAAGGATACAGGTTTTCAACAGAAAAAAATAAATGCTCCTTTTTAATTATTCAATGTGATTGTATAAATATATCTAATATATTATATAAATAGATATAATCTTATAGATGTGTGAGAGTATATTAAATAAATGTTTGATGAAAAAAGTGTGCTTTGATAGAAATTTCCTTCAAACGAATCCGTGTTTACAATCGTATGTTGTTCCTCGAGAATCGCGCAAGATTCGTCAGAACTGCAAGTTGAATTTCAAGACGTCTCTAAAGTTTATGACACAGACGCGCCATCGGTTTTAGATGAAGTTCAAGCATCGCCGTGGAACGTTACAAAAATGCGCGACTATTTAATGCCTATAAATTTACTATAGCGCAGCAACTGTGTTTAATGTAATCATTTCTTTTCATCCATTAAAAGGATACAGGTTTTCAACAGAAAAAAATAAATGCTCCTTTTTAATTATTCAATGTGATTGTATAAATATATCTAATATATTATATAAATAAATATAATCTTATAGATGAGAGTATATTAAATAAATGTTTGATAAAAAAAGTGTGCTTTGATAGAAATTTCCTTCAAACGAATCCGTGTTTACAATCGTATGTTGTTCCTCGAGAATCGCGCAAGATTCGTCAGAACTGCAAGTTGAATTTCAAGACGTCTCTAAAGTTTATGACACAGACGCGCCATCGGTTTTAGATGAAGTTCAAGCATCGCCGTGGAACGTTACAAAAATGCGCGACTATTTAATGCCTATAAATTTACTATAGCGCAGCAAGAACTTCCGCCGGGGGGAGTCTGTTTGCGCGCGGCATTTCCGAAACTACCGTGAAAGTTTCGAGCTCTCGTAGGAAAGGGGATGGTAGTTTGCAATGGTACGGCACGGTGTTGTAGCTACAGCGGGGGCGGTTCGTCGTAAATTCCTACAAATACTGTAACAGGTCGACGCGCTCTATATATAACGACCGACGCTCGTCCGTCGTTATATTACGACGGTGTACGTCGTTATGAATTTTATGATTCTGCGCGCCATAAGTAATACGGGAATTTATAATTCTGCTCTTTCTCCCTTTGAATAGCGCCGCGGGCGTTTTGCGAAATTCGCGGCCCGCACGCGCGATCGTTATACAGTTGGAAATTTTTATCTTACACGACGACCGTCGCGAGAAGATGAAGCTATTCAGCGTTAATGAGAAACTTTTCGTCCCGTCGAGTTTTCTATTACATAATAAAGCGAAGTAGAGTGCGCGATTTTAGTTCGCGGACACATTTTAGCACTCGACTTGAAAAAATTAAAATAATATTAATTAAGGTTTATTTCTCTCATCTTTCATTTTAACATGTATCTAACAAATGTAAGAAGATAATTAAAAAAGGGACTATGACCCAGTAACTCTTAATACGCTTTTGGTCTTAATATATATTAACAAAGATACGCATTCAAAAATGTACTGAGCAGCAATGCTGAAAAGTTCATTGAATACGGTATCACATACAACGTGGTCTTGTACAATATCTCTTGGACGCAAGTCGTATTATTATCCTATAGTTCTACGACCTCTATATATTCACCGCGATCGAGCAAGATAGCACTTCCGTCAAAGCCGCCTGATCCCATCCGGAGAGGTATTAAACGGAAATCGTCGACAGATGCGTCCGGCCTGCAAGACTCGCAGACTCGGATTAATAACC